TATTTTTTACTTTATTTGAGACGGAATTTTTAAATGAATTGTACAGCAACACTGTCGCTTTTTCTCCTCTACACGGTAGACGTTTCCGTTTCGATCTGCGGAAAACGACTCCTCCTCCGCAAACATATTTCCTGAACTGGATGATGACCCGTTACACTGCTTGCTTGTCACAGTTCTTGTATTAACTAAATCTCTCCTGGAAGGTTTTTATCACTGCTGCTCCGTCTAAAGCACAAGGAACACAAATCACGTTGGAAAAGTACTTTCTATCGGATTTTATAAATGATTCTTTGGAAATAGGATCTGTACTTTACCTGAGACATCATAGTAGTATCTACAAATGATATCATTCTTCAACCGCCATTGACCAACTCGTTACCGTTCCTCTGGTGGGAACGCTCGCAACTGAATACATGCCGAGCAAAAATTTGTTGATTTTACATCTGACTTTGTTGAAGTAGTGACATAATTCTATTAAACGCTACATCAATATTAAAAAAGAATAATTTTCCATTCTTCAGAACCCTACTATTCTAGTGATCGATTTAAGTTTAAACCAACCGACATGACTGATTTAAAATCGATGTTCCAGTCTCTGAAATCAAATGCCTTGGGAAGTGATGGCGTGTCACTCAGAATGCTAAAACTATGTTCTTTGCGATTTCAGGTCACATTTTACACATCATAAATACCTGTTTAGAAAGGGGATTCTTTCCAGAATCATGGAAAGAAGCATTAGTGTTACCTCTAGCTAAAATAAGTAAACCAAATTTATATTCTGATTCTATACCAATTAGTATTTTACCTGTTTTGTCCAAATTATTAGAAAAAACAATGTACGTCGAAATTTACGATTATCTCTCTAAACATAAAATTTTGCCTCCCAAGCAATGCGGTTATCGAAAAAGATATAACACTGCAGGTGCCCTATTAGACTTAACCGCTAACATTGTTAGAGCCTGGGATCAACATACGCTCACATCATTAGTTCTTCTTGACTTCTCTAAGGCATTCGATACCATAAATCATCGTCTTCTAGTAGCCAAGTGCAAATATTTTGGTTTTTCTGACTCTGCCTCAGAAATGATTCAGAGCTTTTTAGGAAATCCATATCAAAGGGTACACATTGACATGGTTCTATCTTCAAAGTGCCTCATTTCCTCCTGAGTGCCTCAAGAGTACTTCGGCCACTCCTATTCATTTTGTATATTTCTGATCTACATTCAGTTGTTAAATATTGTAATATCCAATTCTTTGCCGACGATTCACAGATCTACAGTCATTTCCATAATCACGACATTCGAAATGCTGAATCTGAGGTAAATGAAGATATAACATCTATTAGTATGTATGCAAAAAATCATAACCTCTAGTTGAACCCTTTAAAATCGAAAGCCATCATTTTTTCACCAAAACTATTTAGAAGGGATGCCAAAAGAAATTTTAAAGTAAAATTAAATGGTGAAACTATAGAAGTAAGTGAGTCAGTAAAAAACTTGGGCGTAACTTTAGATGAATGTCTAAGACTTATACCACATGTAAATAATATCAGTAAGAGTTGTTTTTCAATTTTATGTCAATTATATCTTAATGAACAATTTCTTGACGTTAGAACTAAAAAAATTTTGTGTGAATCTTTGGTAATGTCCAAAATTAGTTAATGCGATTTAGTGTATCTTCCATTTCTTGACTCAATATCTCCAGCACGTCTCCAAAAAATCCAAAACTCATGTTGTAAGTTGATCAATAATTTGAAAAAATATGATCATATCAGCCCTCTTTTCAATGACATGAAGTGGTTGAGAGTAAATGAACTGTCTGAGCTACACTTAGTTACTTACACCCACAGGCTTTTGCTATCATCCATTCTGCCGTTTTTGAGAAATAAGCTGATATCTAGAAGCAATATCCATTCTAGGGACATTCGATTCACTGAAACACTCACAATGCCCCTCCACAGGACATCATTCTTTCCTAAATGCTTCACCTACAACGCAATTATTTTTTTGAAATGATCTACCTCGATCCACAAAATTGCTATCATATGATGAATTTAAAAGACATATGAAAAAATTTATTAAAATATATATATAAATTAGTTGATAAAATTTATCTGTCACCTCACACAAAAATATTTCCAATATAGCATTCCTTTGATTTGTATAACTGTTACAATTTTATACTTTTAAATCATGAAATATTGAATAGCCTTCACTTATATATGTTATATACATATACATCACATTTTTTATACACCTACACTTTTAAACTTCCAACTTAACAAATGTATTTATGTTTTTTGTATTTTTTCAGTTTTTCTTTTTTTTTTGGGTTTAAGTGGCAGAGTAGCATTATGCTAAACTTCGCCCCCTAAATAAAGACGATTTATTATTATTATTATTATTATTATTATTTTTATTATTATTATTATACATGGTCATATGGTCCTAAGCATCCCAGGCTATCTCAAACCCGGGGCTCGCAAGTATTCCAGCTTAGTAACAAAAAATTCTAAGATGTACATTAATCGTCCTACTTGGGAGCTTTAATATTGTTCAAACAACTGTCTTATCCTAGATATTACACTGAAAATTAGATTTTTTTTCCAGTAGCAGAAAGTGTTTATCAAGTTAATGTGCCTAAGGCCCTAGAACCCATGCCCAAACAAACAGCGATAAGTGGTCGCACGCCGGTGGTTATCGGAGCTGTTATATATTATATTGATCCATGAAAATCGTTTGTCATGAAAAATTCATAATATAAATGATGATTGTAATCAGTGTCATGGAATATACCGCTTAGTGTAGCAGATATTTGGGTTTCTGTCTCCTCCATGTACCTATAATTCATTATGTGCTAATCTATTGATAACATATTTCATGTTCTGTTTTTGGGTGTGAAAGTTTTTTATTGACACATTATCGTAGCACTATAAATATGGTATGCCAAAAAAATAACAGGCAGCAAAGATATGTTTTTTGTTACTAAACAATTCACATCTAAAAGTGAAAAATGCTGTCAATTAAGTCAACTCTGTACTTTCCACTCAGTTATGCCATAATTAGATTAAATTTCGTTTATTTTTGTATCCGATGACATATGAGCTACACACATAACTCTACAATCGTCAACCGCAATTCTCAAGCCATCCTAAACTTCAAAAAAAGAGGTTTGGGCGATTTTCATTTTTTTCGTTTTTTGTCCATAGCTCCGCCGCCACTGGTTTGATTTTCAAAAACTACTACACTTTTTAGATCTTGACATAGTAGTAGTCTTGGGTCTCCGCGTATTAGGCTTTATAATTTGTATTCGAGTTACAAAGAAGAAATCATCAAATTAGAGACGATAAAAGAATTTTCCACTGAGCGTTGAGATTAGAACCTACTACTGTACTTAACCTAGAGCGAAATATTTTCACTAGAAGGTTTATCTAACGCGGTAGGGAAGGTGTCATCGCACTGTGTTATGGTAACTTAGATAACGCATTCAATATATATCAGATGGGTCACCCTAATATAAGTTGAATTACATCAGTGGATGGAAAGCTTTCGCTCCCGCAAATACTGAAAGGGTCTTCTCTCCACAGACGTGATACAATACTTTGGATATCATTAAGGCAACTACAGGCCTATAGCTCTGTTTTCTGTTATAAGTAAGGTGCATAAATCGTAAGCTACTGAAGTATCTCGAAGACACGGCTTGATTAGCGACAGGAGTGTGGTTTCCGGCACCAGCAATCCACGCGGGGCCTAGCTTATGTCATGCATCTGTGAAGTAAAATCATCCAGTTTCCAGCTCCAGCTCATGACGTTGCTCTTGATATCACGAAAGCATTCGATGAGCTGTGGCATGCTGCCCTCCTATGCAAATATCGATCCTATTGGCTGCCAGAGAAGTTTTGCAGATTTGTGGCTGACTTCCTCTCTGGCCGCAAGATATCAGTCGAAATTGACGGGTTTTCCTCTTCATTTCACAACGTCAACGGGAGTGTTGCCCAGGGATCAGTTAGAAATTGTTCCTCTTACTTATCAACGATCTCCTTTCATGTACTATCAATGACCTTGATGTTATCACTGCTTGGGGGACCCAACAATCTTTTACAATTGAATGCTTCCAAAATGCAGCAATGTATATTGACTAACAAGAAGCGTCTTAGCGGCCATCCGGTTTCGATGGATGTCCAAGTTTTACCAAGGAAACGTGCATTTCGGCTGGTCAAATTCCAGATCATTCTGGACTTGTTCTGGCACGAGCACATCTCGTCAATAGCAGCAGCTACTGGGAAAAGCTAGGCTGTTTGTTGAGGGCTAAAAAGTACTTTTTTCCGCATGACCTTCTCACCCTATACAAGGCCCAGATAAGACCTAGCCTCGAGTATTACTCACACGCTTCAGGTGCTGCCGCTCCAACTAGATTGGCCGTGCTTTATGCTGTTCAGAAGAGAACTGTCCGACTGATCGATGACTCTTCTCTAACAGACAGTCTCGGGACCCTTTCGCACCGGCGGGCAGTCGGCGATCTAGCTCCCTTCTACTGCTATACCAACAGGCTTTGCTCTTCGGAGCTGTCCTCCATGGTACCCCCGCGCAATTTGTCTGCCAGTCTCACCTGACCTTGGCCTCCCCCATTCTAGCCATGTCGAACTTCTTACATCCAGAACTGTTCGATACGACCGCCCTTTTGTCTCTAGGGTATCGAGATTGTGGAACAATCTGCATTTGGAGAAAGTTCTACTAATCTCAGGCAGTTCAAAAATCGGGTTAGCAAAGTTTCATCAAGCTCTTCATAACAGCCGCGGTGCCCGGACATTTAGGCTTCTGCCTGCGCCGCTACTTCGGTGTAAGTAAATGTCCTATGTGTACGACCCGACCCCCACTTGTAGCTTCTATTTCACGGTACTACTACGATATAAGGTATTTTGAGTCTTTCAGGTAGTTCAGTCTATTTTTTGAAGTGCTCTTGTCTTGTTGAAGTAGGTGTTGAATCATCACATCACATACCGTCTTCGTCAAGAAGTATAATCCAAATGTTGGTCGTCTGTCACGTTCCACTTAGCACACCGACACTTTCCGAACATGTTGAACGCGGCAGTACCCACTGTAGCTGCATAGCACTCGCGAGTCCCGGCTGTAGGTACCTGTAGGGGCCCCGACCCGGCGCCCCCCAACAACAGGTCGCGGTGTTCGTCGCGTCGCGTCGTCTTCGGTCCGTCCAGCGGCGACGGCACTTGGCGCGCGCAAATGTGCCCGCGATGCGAGACTCCGGTACACTAGAGAAGACCGCGGGACGCCGCGTAGCGTCGCGCGGTTGGCGTCGCGGCGCCCAACCGGAAGTACCCGAAGGGCGTTCGGGTGAGATCGGCAGGGGTAGCGCAGCTGTTGCGGGGGTGGCGCGGCGACCGGCGATGGACGCGCTGCCGGTGCCGGTGCCGCAGCGCCCGTATGCAGTTGGAAAATGTGTACACTGGATGCCCAAGTAGCACCGAACGGGTTTATGAAGTATTTGAAGGATTTGTTGAAACTGCAATTAAAACTAATTGGTTTTTAAATAAATCTCAAGTTTGTAATAAACTCGGATTTAGCATAAAAGGGCACACACTGAAAGCGGTCAATAAAAACAAAAATAAAAACCTTCATGAAATTTAGTAAATTGAGCATCTGTTAGAGATATGTATATATAATATGAGTTGTCGCTTACTTACTCTGCGCGTATACGCCGCTTCAGACAATTCAAAGAAGTAGCATAGTTGCTAGCTAACCTCCACAGCAACCGCAAGCCCACCTCCGCTTGCTTTATCGCTTTTACAACGGATTTCTGCACGCCGTTTGATCAACAGGGCCACCTGGAATTGAGCAAGAATACCGGATCAAAGGTACGCGACAACACGCATTCATTTCTCGAACCAGTACGCATTATACAGTCCCCTTAAATAATTTAACAGCAAGTGTTATCAAAATTGCTGTGGTTTTAAAACCAGCTTAAGTACATTTTGAATACATGCAGTTCTAAAGCAAACCTAAAAGTGTTCATTAAATGTATACCTTTGAAGTTAATTCACCTTTTTGTTGAGAACGTTAAACGAAAATGGTTCTTTAAAACTGTATTACTCATTTCTTACTACATAAAAGCGGTTTAAAGATCAGTTGTAGTCACCGTTCTTGACGGTTCAAAGTAAGACTACCAGTATGCCTTTATATATCTCCATCTCCCTCATACATATACGCGCAACCTGCCCCTGTGTGTGAACGTTTGTTCGGTAAGCTCAAAGATATACGTTTTTTAGTTGTATGTGTCCGTCTCGAAAACTTGTGATTGCGTATGAGTACCCTTCATCATATTTATCAGAGACTTACTTATATCGGCGTGCAATTTAAGTTGTCCGGTTATCAATCTTCAATATAAAAGTGTACAATGCCCGGAAATACGATCAGTGGAGAAGGCAGACAGCTCGTGCTGAATTTATTAGAGTATTTCCAGGAAGAAAATGAGAACAGCGGTCCCTTGTTACCCACTTCATGCGTACTGGGGAGAGTAATAGATGTGAAGATTAGCCGATGGTACAGAGCGTCGATGTGTTTACTTATTTCATATGGCGCTGACGACGTAACCGCCAAGAACTGTGACTACAACTAAAGCAGAGGGCAACAAATTTTTATCTGTAAAATCGTAATTCGAGGTACTTCCGGAGACGAATTTTCTCAAAATGGTTATAATTTTTTTGTAGTCGAATTTCAGAAGTAATTGCACATTAATATTAGCACTTTCTCTCCTTTACAAGATGGCGTAATTAGAATTTCAATATATGATGTTTCGTCTCTTGTCCTCCAGCATCAATTTTATTTTTTCTTATAGACGCCATTTTGGATCTATGCCTAAATTCCGGGTTATCTCGACTGCTATAAATATATTTCAAGCAAAATGCTACCTCGGCTTGTTAATAAGGGAGAAAATAGAATTAAAGCCCTATTACGGTGTTTAGCTATATATAATTAGAGCGCAATTGTGCGCTATATTCACATTTTAACATTTTAGTCATGTTCACAGCGGTTTCGAAGCCAAAGTGGTTCCTAAGTAATGTGAAAAACCAGGTATTAATCACCAGATATACAGTAAATACCTACAAAATACTCTCTAATACTCTATTATCATCAATGTTTTCCATTCATTTGAGAAAAAGGATACCTCAGCAGAACTGATGTTTCTCTACACACTGAAAAATGCTCGAAAGTACTCTGGACAGCAGGCTGAAATAGCTACAGCTCTTGAAAAATTGCTATATGGAAATTGGACGAAAGCGTTCTAGTAAGAAGTGATTTTACTTTCAAGTCGATTTGTATTTTTTGATGAACCATTCCTTTCATTTAATTGGATCCTTTTTTTCCCACCGTCTGATGTTTTGAGTGACCCCAAGAATACGTAAGATCTACTGAATGGAAGTAACAAAGGTCCCAAATCAATAGAAAAATAAACAATATTCAGTCGATTTTAGCACAATTAGAATTTTGCTATAACAGGAAACACAGTACTTAAATGCATATAATCCCCATATGCTTGTCCCATAGATTGGCATAGGATGTACTGAAGCAGCCCAGAAAATAGAGCATAAATACCAGGGAAACGCAACTATATAAAGTAACTAAAAACATGTTTGTCTGCTTCTTGAATTGCCTAAAATGAGTAGAATTGATGAAAGCCACTCCTGTTTCTCACTCCTTAAGAATAAAGGAACGGTCATATTGGGCAGCTAGGAAAAAGTTTCAAACAACAGTGGTAAGATTTCGAGGGGGCAAAATTATGGCGACTTTCAGAATGACCTTGAGTACGACCTTCTTCCATTTTCGCATAGGAATTGAAAATGACAGCAAATCTTACGTCCGAACATCACCTTAGCACCTTTCAAGGCCATTTCAAGGTCGAATCAACACATCGAAAAGAATTTGCTCTAGCAAAAATGTTCGACAGCAGTTGTGAGGTTTGTGGGGATTCTTCCAAAGTGACCTTGACCATAATTTTGACCATGGCCTTCAAAGTCAAGCCATAATTTCCAAAGGTAACCTCCCATTTTCATACTGAAAATGGACAAAGCAGGAAATTTCAAATCCGAATGTCATCTTGACCTCAGAGTCAAGCTCGTGTCAAACTTAAATGTTATTTATATATTGTATAGGGGATCTGTCTGGCAGGTCTAACCCGTTACGATGAAGCAAAGTCTATTAGCATATTGGTAGAAGAAAGTAAGATGACCGACCGACTGACAATGTGAGTGGAGCTTACATCTGTTGAGAAGTAACACCGATCAGTCGAATAGCCTTCCTCTGAATCTCATTAACTGTAGACCGTGTAACTGGAGTAGCCGCGCACTAGTAAATGTGGTGGGGTGTACTAGCCTGGCGTCAATTAGTATGCTTCAGCAAAAGATACCTTCAAATATGTTTACTGTTGATCATTGGATGCGAATTCTGTCTGCATCGGTGAATGGCTCAGGAGATTAAAGCAAAAGCTCAGTAGTCATAAATTCCCATTGGAAACTTCACTTCCAAATTGTCTGTAATGTGGAAAGTGCAGCGTGAACTCACTAGCAGCTACTTTTATATCTATAACCAGTTAACTGTTGGTAACTAGGGACCAATTCGTGCGCCACTGATTGCCGCAGGATCCCAGAGCAAAAGATTAGCAGTTCCAAAATATAATCGGGATCTTTACTTCTTGCTTCACTTGAATCTCTGGCTACATTTGTAAAAAAAGTCATAGTTAAAGCTACGGAAATGTAGGCCCCTGGGAACATAGCTGCATAAAACACAAGCAAACTAAACATTTCATCGGAATCTTCACTCCTAAGTTGGCTACATTTTGTGTAAAGTTCGTGCCTATAGCCACAGTAGACAAAAGGAGGGCAAACCGATTCGGGACCGATCCGTGCACGTTTTATGTCATTAGCCACAGATTCGCATATCGCCGCAGGATCCCGAAACAAAAGCTTCATCGTAGTCTCCACCACTATGTTTGTTCTATCTTGTGGAGGGTGTATGTCTGTAACCACGCAAGTACTGGCCCTTGGGGAATCGACCCATGTATGTATCTTATGTCGTTAACCACAGGCTCGCATGCCGTCGCAGGAACCCAGAGCAAAAGCTTAGTCCCAATATTTGATCGGAATCTTCACAACTAAGTCGGTACTAAATTATAGACATCTGGGGATTGAACCAATCCGGGACCTCGGTTGGCCGCGTGGGTCAGAGTGTCGTGCTACTGATCAGCCGGCCGGCCGGGCCGCGAGTTCGAATCTCGCCTTCGCCATGGATGTTGTGTGTTTGTTTTAGGCAGCAGCGGTGGCCGCAGTAGTAGACTCTTCGGTCTCCTGATCAGCCGCCGTGCCCTGTGCGGGTTCGAGTCCCGTCCCAGGAGAAATGTTTCTCTTGGCCATGGATGTTGTGATTGTCCGTAGGTGGTAGATGGTCTCTGACTGTCGAACGTGGAGGTACCACCCGGCGGTTCTCGTAGGCGGAGCCAGAATGTGTGCATGTTGCATGCACACGTGTTCCCTCGCCAGAGTCCGTGTGGCGTCCCCCCTTTCCCATGTATCCCCCATAGCCCCACGGTACCCAATGGGTGCTTAGGCCTTGGGCCTTCGTGGTAGTTGGAGTATAAAAAAAAAAAAAAAAAAAAAAAAAAAAATCTGTGCATTTCTCATGTCGTAATCCACAGATTCGCAGACCGTCGCGGGGTCCCGGAGCAGAAGCTTAGCACGCCCCAAATTTCATAATCTTCACCCCTGTTAGCTCTATGTTGTAGAAAGTACGTGTCTGGAACCACAGACGTGTAGTCCTCTTAGGACCAAAGTGTTTTGGGATCGGTCCGTGCATTTTTCAACCTCATATTCGCATTTTGCTGCAGGTTCTCGGAGCAAATGCTAAGAAGTCCCAGAAGTACATAGGAATTTTCACTCCTAAGTGGACTGTATTTTGCTCAAAATGGGTGTCTGAAACTACGAGGATGTAGGCTCATAGGGACCGAAGTAATTCAGGACCGATTCGTGCTTTTTTGTGTCGCTAACCACAGATTCACATACCATCGCGGGATCTGGCGCAATAGCTCAGCATACCCAAAATTTAATCAAAACGACTCATGAGTTTGTGGAAAGTGCATGCCTATAACCACAGGAGTATAGGACCAAAGAGACTGAACCGATTCGGAACCGAGACGTACATGTTTTACGTCAATAGCCATTGATTCGTATACCGTCTCAGGAACCCAGA